CCTCTGCCTCCTGAGGAACTGGGATTACAGGTGTGCACAACCACGCCTGGCTGACTTTTTGTATTTTTTGTAGAGACAGAATTTTACCATGTTCTCAGGCTGGTCTCAAACTCCTGGAATCAAGCAGTCCTCCCACCTCTGCCTCCTAAAGTACTGGGATTACAGGTGTGAGCCCCCATGTCCAGACAATAATTATGATGACAACAACAATAATAGCTATTAGATGAGATTTAAATTGATCACATCTATGCCAGGCACCGTGCTGAGCACTCTTCATGGATGATCTCAACTGAATTCTCACAATGACCCTACTATAACCATTTTACAGATGAGGAAACTGGGGCACAGAGCAGTTAGTAGCTTGCATGCAGGTGGTAGATGTGGCAGAGTCAGGATTGGAACCTGGACCCTCTGAGACCAGAGTCTCTGTTGTACATCCCACAATCATACCGAAAAGGTGGATCAGCCTGAAAAAAGATTTTTTAAAATCTCAATTACACAGGAATTATATAGGATGCTGGAAAGGTTTCCAGTCCAGAATTTGGCTCGTTAGGGTCATCATTGTTCTAGTCACTCTCGGCCTTTCCTCCTCACCTAATAGGAAATGCACCATGTGTTCTCCTGTGGGAGTCCTCTTGTGTCTATCCTTCCAGCCCCATGGCCACCCCCTTGGTCCAGACCTCACCTCTCCTCTGGACTATCACCAAGCATGTACACACACACACACACACACACACATGCATACATGAAAGCTTCTACCTGGTTTCATTGTTGTTAGAATTTTTATTAAAAACCAGGAGCACATCCCCAAGAGAAGGATCTTTCCAGAGCCCTGCCCTGCTGCACTGTACTGCTGTGTCCAGTTTAACAACCTTCACTGGCTCTCTTTTCTCAAAGAAAATTTCAAACCCTGAGCAGTGTATTCACACTGACTTCTATTTCCTTCTGCATCATATCTCCCATAACCTCCCACTCTTGGATCAACTGCTGTAGGCCACCTGGCCTCTTCACTGCTGCCAAGACAAGCAAAGCCATCCTGCCTCCATGCCTCTGTGTAGCCTTGTCCTCCAGCCTGCCATGCCTTCCTCTCCATTGTTTGTTTCTCTGAGCCCTTTCCTGTCCTTGGACATCCCCACTACCTCTAGGATACTATTTCAGCAGATCCCGGCCCATAGGACCCCTCCTTCCTTTGGAACCCCTTGGAGAACAAATGTCTGTGACCCTGTGTCATCTATCTAAGTTCTTCGGTCTCAGTCTTATTTTCTGTAAAATGGGCACAATAATAGTCCCACCTCACACAGTTCTTGTGCAGGTTAAAAGATGTAAAGCACATGGTAAACTTAGAACAGTAGCTGGCACAAAGCCTCAAGGCAAGTATTCAATAAATGGAAGATACTGTTATTAATAATCGAGATTGTAATTTTTATTACTGCATGATGCTTTGTGTTGTTTTAATCTAACTCTCTCATGAGGGGTAAATCTTCTGAGAATGGGAATCAAGTCATGTCACAGTTCCTGTAATGCTTCAGCATCAAGATCCCAGGACATGTTTGTTGAGGATGGGTGAGCAAACCCTAACCAAAGAGTTGGAAGCTCAATGTCAATGTGAGCTCTACCAGCGACTCAGCGTGTGACCTTGACTTATATTCTTGGCATCTTCATTTCTTTCACTTTGTATCATCATCCCTAATATTCTGTTTGAACGTGGATTTCAAATCCAAGCCCGATATTGATTCTCTGTGTTAATTTGGGCACATTCTTCAATCTTCTTAGTCCTCAGTTTCTTAATCTGTGAAATGGAGAGAATAATCTTGTTTTACTATTGGCTGTAAGAATTAATGAGGTATTGCTTATAAAATGCTCACCTCAGTACTCAGTTCAGTTGCACTTGTGGTTGTTTATCATAGCTGTTTGATTTTGTTATTTGATAAACACTAGACTTGTTGAATGTATTAGTTTCCTGGGTCTGTCATAAAAAATACTACTGATTGGATGGTTTAAACCATCGAAATTTATTTGTTTCATAACTCTGGAGCTTAGATGTTCAGAATCAGGGTGTCAACACCGTTGATTCCTTCTGAGAGCTGTGAGAGAGAATCTGTTGCAGGTTGGGAAGCCTTAGGCTTGTAGATGGCATTTGTCTTGGGTCTTCACATTGTCTTCCTTTTGAGCATGTCTGTCTCTGTGTCCTTTTGTAAAGACACCAGTCATATTGGATTAGGACCCATCCGAATGATCTCATCTTAACATGATCACCTCTGTAAAGACTCTATTTCCAAATAAGATCACATTTTGAGGTACCAGCAGTCAGAATTTCAACATACCTTCATGCTATAGAGACACAATTCAGCCAGTACCATTGAAAATGATTAATAGTTCTATTTCTTAAATGAAATAGAAATGAAAAATCACTGGACAGTGATTCCCCTTCCCTCCACTGCACTTGACATTCACAGCAGTTCTTTTAACTGGATCAGGTGAGTGGAGTTAGTTTTGACGAAGATCCTCTTCTTTCTGCAAAGCAACTTCCAGAACCTTTGTCCTGAGTGGTGAGTCCCACAAGTACTTTTGGAATTGTAAGTCTATCACTTCTAGTTCACGACGTTGTTATAGGGCCCCCGGGATGGAAATAACACACCAGGTCTCAGTCAATTGGTGTTCTTTCCCTGTTTTTATAGCACTCTGCAAACTCTCCTGCTGTTTACATGTGACTTATATTCCTCTGGTGGTCCCTAAATAGATGTAATAAAAACAGATTTAGAATATTAATCTGACATGGTTCAAGCCAACATGGTCTAATAGAAATTTATTTACTGGAGATGGTGAAAAATCAGAAAGAGTAGAGTGCGAATCATTTCTTAGTAAGTATTTGTTGCTGGCTTCTTTGGCACTGTTTTTCAAAGTGCAGTCCTGGATTCCCGGTGTTGTTTGTGGAAAATGCAGATTGCAAGGCCCTGCCCCCATCCTGCAGATTCAGTGTCTTTCAGGGAGGGGTCCTGGAATTGGCATTTCTGTTGATCTGCCCATGTTCCGAGTGGTGCTTCACCCTGCAATGTTTGAGAACCACTGGTTTCCATCCTCTCAGAAGGAAATGCGTTGTGTTGGAAAGTGCTGGAGTCTGTCCAGGGCTGAAGACCAGGAGGGCCAGGAAGCAGGTGTGGGGCAGATGGCCCAGGGATGGTCTGTGGGCAAAGGGAGGAGTCAAGTAGCCATGGTGAGGACAAGTGTGTCCAATCCTTTGTGAGGTGACATCTGCTGAGCATGCTAAAAGGACAGTGGATTTCAGGTGTGACAGGGAGGCCTGTAAAGGTTGATGGGGTCTGTACTGTTGGCAGGTGGTTTGACCTGGGGCATGAGTCTCTGGCAGGCTCAATGTATGGAGGTCCGAGCATCATCCCTATCAAGGGTCTAGCAGCTGGGAGCACTGGGGTGGGGTAGGGGGTGTAGGAGGGGCTGATGCCTAGTCCTGAGGGGGGCTAACTCCACTCACCTGACTCCACTCACCTGACTCGGTGAGGCGGGGCCTCAGAGCCACTTGGAGAGAGCTGTGTGCAAATTTGGATTTCTGAGCTTGAACCAGCCCTTCTTCATTACACTGTGGGAATCTGTATTTTTAAAGCTCCCCAGGTGATTTAATGTGAGTCCCTCGGGATAGCATTTGAGAAGCATGAGGAAAGAGTTGGCTTTGGGACCAGTGACCTGGTCCTAGTGCTGTGACCTTGATCGTGTTACTAACCCACTCTGAGACAGTTTGATTATCTCTCAAATGAAGATACAGATTTTTTTTCTTTCTTTCTTTGCTGTTGTGAGAATTACGGATAAGAGATGTGATACACTTAGCACACTCTCTGGCACATGGTAGGCCACGATAAATGGTGGCCCCAAGCCTTGTGAAACCTGAGATTCTAGGCACAATGAGAATCCACTGGGCAAAGGAGTCAACAGAGGGACTCTGACTGGAATTGGGATATAGGATGAGATCTTGACTCTAGACAACATTGCCTCCTGGTGTCCAGAAATGGAACTAGGAAAAAAAAAAAAAAAGAAAAAAGCAGCACTCATGTCAAGGCTTAAATAGTATTTACCTGTGCAGACCAGGCACTATTCTAAGCACTTTATGCACAACCTTTTGAATAAGTACTGTTGTTATCCCATTTTATACATGAGAAAATTGGGGCTCGGAAAGATGCGTGCATGGTGGCATGGTCCATTGTGCGGCAGAATTGAGTTTCAGACCCAGGTCATCTGGCTGTATCCTCAGCCCCCTGTTGCTGCCTGTTTAAGCCTCATGTGAGGACAGAGTGGTCTTTGAACCACAATGCTGAGTCTCAAAAGTAAGCTGGGACTCAAGAGAAATGTTTCCAGCTATTTATTTATTTATTTATTTTTTTGCCATACATTTCTAGATGTTAAATTGTACAGCCACTTCATGACAAAGTTAGAAAAGCTGGCATTTTCATAGCAGAAACTGAGCTCTAATAACCTCCACTATTGCCAAAGGCTTGATAAGTTCTAATAGAAAATCCATAACACAAAATTATCTTAGAGTGAAAATCCCTTGACCACTTTATATTCCATTCTTGCATAAGATTTTTAATTTTTTTAAATTTTATTATTATTGTTCTTTAAGTTCTAGGGTACATGTGCACAACGTGCAGGTTTGTTACATATGTATACATGTGCCATGTTGGTTCACTGCACCCATTAACTTGACATTTACATTAGGTATTTCTTCTAACTTGCATAAGATTTGACCTCTTTCATGGGTCAATTAGAGCTTCAAAGGGCTTCTCTGACCACGGTTCCTTCTCCCTTAGCCTCCAGCCTCACTGACTCAATCCTCATTCAGTTGATAGAAATTTGAATCTCTGATCAAGATTTTCCCCACCTTACACATGAGGCATTGGCATTACTGAATATATTGGCTTAATTCTGAGAGTATTTTGTTAGAATTTCAACCTTTTGTAACATTCTTCTCTATCCCTTCTCTCTGTTCTCAGGGCATAATCTTCGGTGGCAGGACAAATCAGGCCAGCACGCAGTCTGCCAAGTCCCTGTCAAGAAAAACAGCTAGATCCATTTCTAATCAACACTTCCCAACACAACACTTCTGAGTCTCTAAAGGAGACCAGAGCTCGAAACTTTCCAGACTTCCAATAGATATCGAGTACAAAAGGATATTAAGGTTGTCTTTGCACAAATCTGGTTGATTTGAGAGATAAAGGGGTGAGAAAACGAGTGTGACTTTCACCTAAGAAGTCACATGAACATATTTCACATTTGAACTACATAATGAATGATGGTTATTGAAATAGCCCAAACCTCTACCACAGAGCGAAGGATATAGCTCAGGTGGCAACCAAGCAGTCGCAGAACCAAGGAATGGATGACTACAAGTATCAGGACAACTATGGGGGCTATGCCCCCAGTGATGGCTATTACCGTGGCAATGAGTCCAACCCAGAAGAAGATGCACAGAGTGATGTCACCGAAGGTCATGATGAGGAAGACGAGATCTATGAGGGCGAGTACCAGGGTATCCCTCACCCAGATGATGTCAAGGCCAAGCAGGCCAAGATGGCGCCCTCCAGAATGGACAGCCTTCGGGGCCAGACAGACCTGATGGCTGAGAGGCTGGAAGATGAGGAGCAGTTGGCCCACCAGTACGAGACCATCATGGATGAGTGTGGCCATGGCCGCTTCCAGTGGATCCTCTTTTTCGTCTTAGGTTTGGCCCTGATGGCCGATGGAGTGGAAGTGTTCGTGGTGAGTTTTGCCCTGCCCAGTGCAGAGAAGGACATGTGTCTGTCCAGTTCCAAAAAAGGAATGCTAGGTAAGTGGAAATTTCCAATGATCCCTCCAATGAAAGGGAAGGAGAAGTAAAATTTATGTAGTATCTGTCCCTATTAGGCACTTTAAATATATCACAATGTACCCATTTTGCTGTTAAGGAATTTTTATCTTAGAGAAATCAATTGATTGGCTTAAGTTTGCACAGCTAATAAGTCTTGGAGCTTAGATTTCTATTGAGGTCTATCTGACTTCTGAGCTCTTAGTTTGCTTTCCAGATCTTGTTGCCTCCTTGAGAGTCAGATTTCTTTCTTCTTCTTATTAAACCTTCTTCGATGTCCAAATGACAAATACATTTTGGGAGTGGCAAATGTGGGAGTGGCAAATTAAACCTTCTTCCATGTCCAAATGACAAATATATTTGGGAAGAGACCTCTGGCTGGTGTCTTCCACTTGGTTCTTCTCTCTGTGTCTTTCCAGAATCTGATGGTGTCTGTTCCTGGTTTCTCATGTACATAAATGTTAGTAGGCTGAATGCCCACATACCCTGGGGATGAATGGTGGACTTGAGCACACCAGTGGAGTCCCTGCAGGCTGTTGGGAACCATGCTGTGAAGCACAGATGGATTCTGCAGGATAGAGGAACAGCTTTGCAAATCAATTAAGAGATCAGCATCATCAGAGCCAAGCATCAGCATCAGGCTGAGGCAGAGACGATTTGTGAAATTAGAGAGAGGATATGCACAAATGGTGTGATGTAGAAAAGATTCATCATCATATGGACAAGCATTTGTCTTTAGTCACCAAATGTCCTGCAAAACATATCTAGCCTCTAAACTTAGAGTCCATGGAATTAATTGTGCAGCAAACATGCAGTTATTGGGAACTATGAGTCAAGTTCTCATTCAAGACCAGGACATGCTTGTGACCCTGAAGAGCTTAAAATCTATCTAGCAATTCAGCTCCTTCATTCAACAAATATTTTTTTATTGATTTACCTTATGCTAGACTCTGTGCTCAGGACCTGGGAAGAAAAAAGCTTTTGTCTCTCAGATAATTTGCATGTAGTTGAACAAACAGACATTAACAAACACAGAGAATTATTTAGTTACTGTAGGGACAGTCTCTATGAAATACCTGGTGCAATTCAGATCCCCAATATTTGCTATAGAACAACAGCTAGCAAACAGTTCTGTAAAGACCCAGATAGTAGATATTGTAGACTTTGCAGACCCAGATGGTCTCTGTCACAACCACTCAACTCTGCCACAGTAGCACAATAGCAGCTTTGAACAACATGTAAACAAATGGGCGTGACTGTGTTCCAATTAGACTTTATTTACGAAAAAATGGTCAGTGGGCCAGATTTAGCCTGCGGGCTGCAGTTTGCAATCCCCTGAATTAGGGCCACTGTAAATAAAACTGAGATATCAAATAAAGGACATCTGCATAAAGAATTGTTCCTGGGGGCTCTTTAAAATGGTTTTACACATTTGTGTTTAACTAAAGGGCCATTTAAAATGATTAGAACTATGTCAGATATAACCATGAGGGCACCAAAAGAGACAGAGTATATGCAAACAGAAGGAAGGGCTTGAGAAGCAAGGATATTACCTAGAGTTTTTAAACACCAGTATCATTTTAGTGTAGTTCTTTTTCATATTAAAAAATTCTGCTACCTGCTTTTAAGTATAAATAGTAGATTTTTTTTAAAGGACAAAACCAACCAACCAAGAAACCAACAAACAACCGATAAAAACCAAAAACCCCAAACAAAACAAAACCATCTCCAACTGATGTAAACATTTCCAAGACATTAATTTGTTTTGCAGCATTCCCAACTGAAACCCTGGGTCCCTGTGAGTCCAAATTGGCAACGTCGGTAATGATTTCATGCCCTGCTGGTCTCTCTGGCACCGTGGTGCCTAGCAGCCTCATTAACAGAGCTGCAGTATGGTTGCAGTCCTTGCTGGCTCTTAGGGCAAATGCTGGGAGTTGCGGGAACATGGTCTTAATCTGGGGAGTCCAGGTTTTTGTAATTTTGCTCTTAGTGTCTGCCCAGAAGATGCTGTGACTCAGCCCAAGAGGAGAAGGCAGACCCTCTGAACATAGATGGACTTCCTGTGCACTCATGGGACCCTCTTTGTGGTCAAGAAAATGAATGTCTAAATGGATCCAGGAGGCTGGATGATTTGAGGATTTCATGAGGCCAGAATTTCCACACACGGTCACATGGAACCTTCAGAGTCACCATGTCAGCTAGATGATCTTTGTCCTTCAGTGTAAACATGCAGACCCAGATTCAGAGAGTTTTATCTGAGGTCACATAGCTCGTAAGTGTCAAGCAGGGGTTTGACCCCAGGTCTATTTGACTTAAAAGTCTGGGCCCGTTCTGCCACATCACACTGCCCTTCTCTCATGCCTGGTTTGTGGGAAAGAGGTCATGCCATGCACAGGCCACTGTCTGTGTCATCAAGCACCTTATAGATTGCTTGGAACACCAGACTGCTTCCAGCAGAAAGGGAGCATGGTGTGCTGATAATGATGTGGGTACTGGAGTCCAACCTCTAGGCAACTGGGTGTGTCCTATATGTCATCGATTTGCTAGTGACCTTGGGCAAGTGATGACTCCTCTAATTCTTGGTGTTTCCATCTGTAGAATAAGAGCAGTAATACAGTGCTGTGAGGACTAAATGAGATAATGTAGGTGTAAAGCAACCAGCACTTGGTGCCCCCTCAACAACGATTAGCTCTTATTACTTTATATTCTGCCATTCTGCCTTCTGGCATTTGCAGTGAACTATACCTGCGGTGAGATGATGAAGCAGTGTGGCTCTGGAGCCAGTTACTTGGGTTTGAGTCCTTGCTGTGCCATTTCTTAGTAGCGTGATTTTGGGCAAGTTGCCTGGCTTCTCTGTGCCTTGGTTTCCTTGTTTGCAAAATGGAGATAATAATTGTATCTACTTCATAGGATTTTTTTGGGGAATTAAATGAGGTTAATCCATTTAACATGGCTAAAACAGTACCTGGACCTAATCAGTGCTCAAGATATCTTAGTTAACATCGTTAATTGTGGTTGTTATTATTACTAAACTCATTGCTTGATAATGATTCAGGAACAGATTTTCTCAGGTGAGACTGCAAATTTCTTTCAGCCAGTGTTTTTTATGATAGACTTCTAAGGTCAAGCTATCCTACCTCAGCTGGTAAAAAGGCTGTTTATGTTTGAGTGCTGCTAACTCAGATCTCCCTTTCCCCATCCTCTCTCTGTTTTAAAAAGAAACTCTCTGGTTGGGTGTGGTGGCTCATACCTGTAATCCCAGTGCTTTGGGAGGCCGAGGTGGGAGGATCACTTGATCCCAGGAGTTTGAGATCAGCCTGGGAAACATGGTGAAACCCGTGTCTACAAAATACAAAAGAAATTAGCCAGATATGGTGGTGCATGCCTGTAGTTCCAGCTACTCGAGATGCTGAGGTGGGAGGATTGCTTGCACCCAAGAGGTGGAGGTTGCAGTGAGCTATCATTGTGCCACTGTGCTCCAGCCTGGGTGAGAGAGTGACAACTCGTCTCATTAAAAAAAAAAAAAGAAAAGAAAAGAAAAAGAAACTCTCTGAAAGTGATATCTTTACACTAGACTTCTACTTGATGACCCAGGAAAGGAATTCAGTAAAAGAAATCTCCATTCCCAAATTCAAGTGTCAAATCATAGGATATTTTGTTATTTTTTTCCTGGAAATTAATGAATCAGTTCAGAAAATAAATAAATATCCCTTGGCCAGGTGACAAAAATATCTGGGTGCTGCTGTCCTATTTTTCTGAGTGTTTAGAAAGATGAAAGTTTACTTCTCTTGAGCATTATGTTTTGTTGGATCCTCATCTGGAACTGTCTCACTTGGGGAAGAAAAAGGTCTGTGAGTATGTTGTTGACATTGAAGGCTCAACCCTGCCTAGTGTCCAGCAGTTGGTCTCTTTCAACTCTCAATGAAGGAGAAGGCATTCATTTGTTAATTAAAGTCTTCATCCATTCTTTTAAAAAATGATTGAACATTACCACACGCCTGGTACTCCTCTGGTTTATAGCAATACAAGGAGACAAAGTCCTGGCACTCAATGAGTTTTATTCTAATGGCGGAAATGGAGGTCACACAGAGATGTTAAATACAAACACCACAATATAATCGTGCAATGCAATATTCAGTCTTACCACTTTTATTCAGATAGGAAGGAAACAAAGACAGTGTAAAGGGATAGAGCTTGAGCTTGGGGGAGTGGTTCTAGAATTAGGAGATTTGTTTTTGCAATTGCCCTATTAATGATTGTGTGACCTTGGGCCAATCTGAAGTCTTTCTTCTGAGATTCCACAATTTTAGGTGGTTGATGAGTGAATCCACATGTATTTTAACCTTTTATGTGATAATTATGCATTTTCTGGGTATGTAAAAGAAAAATCACCCAAAGAAATGACTAAACTTAGGAAGCTCAAGGCTATGTGGCAGGGTAAGCCATTTGGTTCTTACAAATGACATCACTGGCAACGGATTATCATGTTTAGGAGTGTGGAGTTGATCCCACCAGCAATGGAGAGCTGTTTAATGGGGAGCTACGAAATATGCCTTTGAGGAAGGAGGTGATAAGATGGGGCCTGTGGTTTAGGATGATCACTCTACCCCAGTGATTTTGGTACTAAGAGTGCTTCTAGAGGAGCAGAATTTTGAGGATGAGTTTTCTGAATTGACTCTGGAGTTTCTGGAATTGTCTTTCTAATCTGATTAGATTTAAAGATAATTCATTTTTTGAATGTGAGAGCCTTGTCTCCCTGGAGTTACTTTTAAATGGCAAAAACCACAATTATTTTTGCACCAGCCTATAGGATGATAATATTGGTGATACATAAGACAAACCAACTCCATGCTTTTCTGCCTGCATTTAATAAATCGTCACCAATTTTTCATAATTGCAAATAAGCGCCTCAACCTGGAATTGTGGGCTATTCCTTACCTTCATGCCTATGAATGTGAGCTTCCCTTTCAGGCAAGAGTTCT